GGAAAACAACCCAAGAGTTTAACTGAAGAAATATAATCACTGCTCTGGAGTTACTCTAATGGCATCAGAGAAGAAAGTAAAGGACAGTTGAAAGATGCAATAAAGAGCAAAGCTAAAAAGTGAGGATATAGTAGATCATCAGAGGAAAAAACTTTTTTTTTTTTTTTTTGTTATGCCTTTGATTGTGATTTTTTTCCTGCTTTAGATATTACTCACACATGGGTTATAGTTTAGACACATAAACATTCTACAAATACTTAAGGTACTGTGATTTGTAAAAAGTGCTGGAAAAATAAGGCTGGTAAACAGATAAAGAGACTAACAAACACATTAAGGAGACTAGCAAAACAAAAATAAGGCCTGCAGACATCAAGCTTAGAGAATAACACACAAAGAACATGTAGAAAATGCTGCAAAAGAGGAATGCTATATTCACAGAAAATAGAGAGATGTAAGGAGCAGACCAGCTGCAAATACAAAAAGGCACTGTGTCACAAAATGCACTAAAACCACATACCGTATTTTCACGACCATAAGGCGCACCGTACTAAAAGGCGCAGTCTCAGTTATGTGTGCCATTTCTGTATTTAACACACACATAAGGCGCACCGGACTATAGGGCGCGTTTTTTTATATACAGGTACATGTCCTCTACTACCTTTAAATACCTCTACTGCATATTTAAAAATACAGCGGGGGCAAAACTGAGTATGACTATGCTTTATTCATGTATTTATTACAAAGTATTAATCAAACCTGGCAGCTGGCCATGAGACAGACACATCGCAGATGACACAGCGCTGTGATTACTCCTAAATTAACGTAAAATCCTGAAACCTGCCGACGGAATATGTTCGCTTTTATTACCGGTATCCTGGTGCCTGCAGCTAAAATTATTTAGATGAAAAACACCTGCCAGCCACTGCATGAACCCGGAGGCTGCCCGGCCTAGAGGCTGCTGTTGAAGGGATTTCTGCTGTCGGTGCACCTCTGGTATGTGGGGGTCTGAGCGCCTCCGACAGAAATAGATAATCTGGATGAACTGACTGCAATTATTAAGTTTTCAGGTGGCCTTTCTCACTTAAAAACATATTAAAACTACTTTATTCCCACTGATCACAGCAAATATAGCTGCAAGATTTAGATTATTTAGATGAAAAAACACCTGCCAGCCACCGCGGTGAAGAGGAGGAGACCCGCCCAGAGGCTGCTGTTGAATTAAGTTTTCAGGTAGAAAAATAGAGCCGGAGCAAAACTGAGTATGATTGTGCTTTATTCATGTATTTATTACAAAGTATTAATCAAACCCATCAAAGTCATCATCCTCTGTTTCTGAATTAAACAGCTGCGCTAAATCAGACATGCCCATTTCCCCTTCTTCGCTGTCAGAGTCACTTTCCGTGAAGCGCGGCTCCTCGGAAATAATGCCGGCTTTTGCAAAAGCTTGAACAACAGAGCCAGCAGACACGTTAGTCCAAGCATCTACAATCCATCCGCAAACGGTGGCGTAACTTGCCCGGCGCTGCCTTCCACTTATCCTGAAACTGTGCTCTCCGTCTGTCATCCATCGCTCCCATGCCGCTCGCAGCCTTACTTTGAACGGCCGGTTCACACCGATGTCGAGCGGTTGAAGTTCCTTTGTCAGACCCCCCGGGATAACGGCGAGCACAGCGTTTATTTTTTTTCACCATGTTTTTCACATCGGCTGTGAGATGGGCACGCAGCGATGGTGATGCGTGGAAAAAAACACCTGTTCTCCTCACATACCTGCCTCAGCCAAGCTTTCATCATCTCCTCATCCATCCAGCCCTTTCCATTTGCCTTAATATGTCATCAGAGCGCTGTGTCTGTCTCGCTGTCAGCTCCCAGATCAGCTTCTCTGATTCGTTGATGCGGCGCTTCCAGCAGCAAAACTTCAATTTTTCCATCTCGAGCAGCAGCAGCGGGACCTTTTGCTGCGCCTGTACGCTCGTCAACCGTTGACTTTGCATGTAAACTCGCTGCTTCTGCTGCACCTGCTGCGTCCGGTTCACAGCAAGCGCATTAATTTGTTTCACCATGTTTTTCACATCAGCTGTGAGATGGGCACGCATGGAGTCAGATTAACAGCGATGGTGTGGTGATGAGTGGAAAAAAAAACACCTGGTCTCCTTACATTCAGCCACTCTTTCATCATCTCCTCAATGAGGTGGTCTCAAAAGTCGCACTTGCAACACACATAGGGCGCACCACACCAAAGGGCGCACCGCACATTTTGAGGAAAAAAAAAGACGTTTATGTGCGCCTTATAGTCGTGAAAATACGGTAAATGATACCAACACACACAACACCAAGGAAAAATGTTACAAGTAGAAAATAAAAAACAACACAAGTAAAACATGCAAACCTTCTTTTGATAACGGGAATGCTTCATGGGGAGCATATCCATTACTCACCACTAGAGGGAGCATTGCAGTTTTCTTCCTTTTTCCTGCGTTTTGAGTGTTAGCATCATTTACATTGATGCAGTGTGTTTATGTATCTGCAGATCTTTTGTACTTTGTTGCTCTCTGTTTTTTTTGATAGCAGGTTTTTTCTTTTGCAGCATTTTTTCCCACTCGCTTGTGATTTGAGTGTTTTTGTGTCAGTGTTTTTTTTTTGTGTGTATTTGCAGCAGTTTGCACCCCTCTTCCTCCATGTAAATGGTCTAATCAATTATTTAAGATATTAAAAGATTTTGAACAGCCCACAAAAAGCATTATTCATCTTGCACTTGACTTGTGCTCCAGGTAATCACTTAGAGGAAGGATTTGGTTGAAAAGTCAAGGGGCTCTAACCTTACAAGCCTCCGGGAAAGAAGACATGGGATGGGATGCCATTTTTGAGAAAGACAAAGGATGAATACGACAAAGGCGGAGGTCTGAAGATCAAATTGCTGCAGCTTTAACATGCAGCTTATGTAGAGGGAGGATTACTGTTGCTCTGCCATGCTTCATCTCCATGTGTAGGTACAGCTGACTCTAAAGTAAACCCTATTCATGACAATAGCCTCAGCTGTGGATGCATCGAGTTTGATTCTGACTAATCTATATGTATTGATCAGGTAAACAGATCAAATAAAAAAAAAACTTTTAGTGAAAATGTTGCTTAGTTGTTTTATACAAGAGTTGAAATTGGTTTAACTCTTTAACCTAAACTGTATACAAACACAACAGATCCCATATAGTCTTTTAATACCAAACAAAATAAACCTAAAATTGAAAAACTGTAATCTGAGAATTTGTTTTTATATATATTGTTGACGAGGATATAGCAAGTGTACGTTGACAAAACGTCAGGAGAAAGGCAAAGAATGTAAAGAAGCAACTGTTGCTACAATCTGGGATGATTTATAAGGTGATTTCCTGTTTGACAGGTGACTCATCAAGTGGAAAATATTCAAGAGAGAAGCTACTTTTCGTAGAAGTGGATGTTGCAGCACCAAAGGTTCAGACAGGGTAGTACAAACAACAAACTAAAAAAACAAGAGTTCTGCCTTTAAGTTGGAGGGAAGTCATATTTGAATTTCAAATCTTTCTGGCTTAAGCATGCATATAAATGTAGACTTTATCAGACCATATTGACCCAAAAGTTAGAAAATTTCTATTTAAAAAAAAACCTGTCTTAAACTGTTTTTTTCCCGTTATCTTATGCAGGCCAGTTTGTTATACATCAGCTTGTACACCTAAATTGGGCCAATCATATATCAACGGTCGTCTTTCAATCAAATTTTTTCGGTCATAATATCTTGATTCTAGCCGAATAAACTAGCCCCACCCGCCAGCGGCCAAAATTATTTTTGCCTGTGAGTGGTCTAGCCTCGATGAATGGCCCAGGCCCTAGAACTGGTGGGCCAACAACAATCTTCCGATGTGTCATTCATCGGGACTAGACTAAATTACACATTTAATCTCACATTTAGTCTGGTTAATCAGGCTATCTTGCGTCATATGTCGCAGCTAATATACGCAACGGTTGAAATAAGAAATAAGAATCCTTTCCTTTCCCATTGAGTTCGTCTGTGTCTTCAGCAGGCGTAGAGCTAACAGAACTGAAAGCGTTGCGAGGCAAGGGCTCAAACATGTATGGCTGGGAGCCTTCTACACAAAACCAAGCTTCTGCCGCCATGGCGTCCTCTTCCACAACATCTTCGTCTCCAGTTTCCTCATCTAACTAAAAAATGTATGATGGAGGAGACTCATCCACGATCTCCGATGCAAAACTCTCCTCCTCTTGCATGTTTCCGCTGTCCATAGCGTTCCTTGACAGTGTCGTTTCTAAGTCACCAATTTAGTGCTACTTGGTCCCAATGGAATTTCCCATTGGGAACCTACTAGCACTAAGTTGCTAACTGGTTAGCAAGATGCTTCCAACAAACCGGCCACAACCAAACTTGCTTGCGAACCTTCTGCCACAACAATCCCGCCCCCTTGATAAACGACCAATCACATTCACTTTATTCAGTTGCGTAAAGTCAGACTGCACTCGGGAGAATTTGGAAATGAAACGTTTGGAACAGCCGCTTCCCTACAACTTTAAACTCTACAGACCTCAGTTTGTGTTAAAGGTTCACATGACAAAGCTAAGAAAATTCTTTAACACAACAAGTTCACTCCCTGCTTCGCTCTAAAGTCATGCCATGGAATCTTTTTTCTACACATAACTTTTCCATTTTGGATTATTTTACAATAGGTATTTCATAATTGCAAAACCTTGAAAAGATAAAATTTTAAATGTCCTTATTTATAAAACCCCAAAACTAATTAATTATTTTTGAAAACATTACATTAATATATATTTTCATTTTTCCCCTCCATAAAAAGTGTTGGTTGAATTTAAATATGTGGGTTTAGGTTTTAGTTATTTCCAACATCCAGAGAGTATCAATAGAAACCGCCACCTGGCTGACAGTGAATATTTAGCGTGGGTGAAACACTTCCTGCTTAGTCGCAGACAACATTTCAGATTCCTGCAGGCCGTACCTCCAGCCGTGGACGCGGAAGCCGGGGCACTGGTCTCCGCAGCGCATACAGGGCTGGCCTCGGTCTGGGTCCTCTTCTTCCTGCTGTAAACACAACATAAACTCCAATCAGTTTGCAATCATCTTCCTGAACTGGGAACACCAGCACAATGTTTTAAAAAAAGGAACAAATATTTAATCAAAAGTCAGCAAGTTGTGATCTGATGAACAGCCAGAAGACAAACAGATTAATTACAGCTTAATTTAGTCCCAATTCAGCATCAGTGTTCTGTTTAATTCACATTAAAAATAGACATTTTTTAAACCTATAAACACAGATATGTGTAGATCGAGCCACCCAGCTAAACTTTATGTGCTGGAATAAAACAGCCTTTCACATGAACTCCTGCAGCATTGCTGTATGGCAGTATATTCAGAATGCATACTGCAGACTCAGGCCTCTTTTTTAGAGATGGGAGGAAGGAAGCAGACACAGGATGAGAGCTGCACCCTTTCCCTCTCCATGTAGTAACTCTGTGGCTCCACTTTTCCCTGCTTTTTGTTTCAGACAGCAGCTTAGTGTTCACAGAGAAAAGGATTAACAGATGGACTTTGTACAAGCCTTACATGAGGATCAAATTAACCCAATAGTTATTACTGGATGAGACCTAACATCAGACCTTTTCAAATGTATAAGCAAGCTGCACGTAACGTGGCACATTCTTGACTTTAATTAAGCAAGGGTAATAAACTCGGAGGTACCTGTGCACACCTGCTCACCTCCCTTATTTCTAACCACAGAACCAGAATTCACGTCAAGCCTGTTTTGCGAAGCAAAGATTTTTACGACCGCTTTCAAGAACTGCAGAGCTTTAACAACCAGGACGTTTTATTTTCTCACACATGTGAAGGCTGCTTCTCTTTTGCAGTGTTTTTCATTCATCCCAGAAAGGATTTTGTTTAGAGTGTTGAACCTTTTAGAGGGAAGCTGTATAAACTTAACTGTGCCCAGCTGGATTAACACCCATTTTAAATGTAGGAGCGATCCAAAGGAAACGGCTGTTTCAGGCTCCACTATGTTCTGTTGAAAAATATTTTTGTTCTGTTTTTTTTTTTACATATTTTCATTTTACATCCCAAAATTTCAATGAATATTATCAGGATTTTACATGCTTTTAAATGAATTCCACCTGAGTAATTTAATCTATGTATAAATCCAGCTGTTCTTTGAAGGCCCCAGATGTTTGTTTGGGAGCATTAGTGAATCAACATCATCATAAAGACAAAAGGAAACTAGTTAGGTCAAGAACAATGATGTATAGCTTCTAGGGGAGCTCAGTTCAATCCGTTATCTGAAAATGTAAAGATTAGGAAACAGGTAAAAAAAACTTTCAAAACATGGCAATCCACCAAAGCTAAAAGGTCAGTCAGGAAGCACATTGGAGAATCAGCCAATCTGTTGAGAGGACAAATATCAAATCAAATCAAATTTATTTGTATAGCCCTTTACAATAGCCAAATGGTACCCAAAGTGCTTTACAACAAAGCCATAAAAACAATACATAACACATAAAAACATACAAGATACAATTAAAAGTGCTGTAGTGGTGCAGTGCTGCAGGACATTAAAAGCCTTCCAGAGGTGCACAGAAAGGAGCAGACAGAAAGATTACATCTAAGAGACAGTATTATGGTCAGAATTAAAAGCCAATTTAAAAAAGAGGGTTTTAAGCTTTTTTTTTAAAAGGCTGAGGTCAGTAGTGGTGCGGATGTCAGGGGGTAGTTTGTTCCACAGTCTGGGAGCAGCGACGGCAAAAGAATGATCGCCCCACTGTTTGAGTCTTGACCTAGGGACCTCTAGCAGAAGCTGACCCGAGGAGCGTAAAGCTCTGCCACAGTTGCGGAAAGTTAAAATCGCAGACAAGTAAGAGGGGGCAAAGCAATGAATGGCGTTAAAAACAAACAGCAGAAGTTTAAAATCGATTCTAAAACGGACTGGAAGCCAGTATAGTGACGACAGCACAGGGGTAATGCGTTCACGTCTGGATGTGTTTGTTAAAAATCGGGCGGCAGCGTTCTGCACAAGTTGGAGACGAGAAATTGTTGACTGACTGAGGCCAACGTAAAGCGCATTGCAGTAGTCCAGTCTTGAACTAATAAAAGCATGGATTGCCTTCTCAAGATCCTGCCGACTGAGAAAAGACTTGACTTTGGCCAAAAGACGGAGCTGAAAAAAAGTTGGGGCTGACAACGGAGCTAAATATAAGTAAAAACAAATCTAAAGCCCCTGTCACGACTTGACGATTTAGACCAGCGTATGCCTGAGGTAGGGAAAATCTGGCAAAAATGCTGGCATACATTGGATAAGTTATGGGTACGGTTTGTATAAGTCATAAGCACGCTGAAGTACGTTGGAACACGTCACCATACGGAAAGTACGTCGAGAAATTTTGCTCAAAATTACAGGTAAGTTATCTGGTCATTGACATACGTTAAGAGTAAGTTACCCATAAGTCTTGGCTACCAGTTTATCCAAATCCTTTGAATAACTTCTCTGAACTTCAGCCCCATCATAGTGGGAGCGAGAAGGTGAGGGTGATGGATCCTCCCTGCGTTTACCCCCACGGCAACCACCAACAAACTTCCTGAAGCTTTCTTTTTTTCTTCTTTTTATTTCTTTTTTTTTTTATAGAAATCGTTCGCAAAAGGGAGGAAAATTCAGTATAATTCTTCTGCTGATTTGGTACCTGCCCTCCTTGTCAAGTTTTTAGCCAATCACAGTAGCAGCCGAGGCATTTCACATGCTTGATTTGATTCTCAGATTTAACTGATAAATCAAGCTCTTACCTAACCCGGTCGGAAGGGATGCACAAACGTCTTTCCATTCACAAAGGTAAAAATCATCTTCTTTTGATCATTTTTCAAAAACAAATAGAGGGTATTCCAGCTAAAACCGGAGCAGGTGTGTTTGTTTTGCCTCAGCCTTACGCCTCTAGTTGACACGTTGACGTTATGCACGTGACTGCCTTTCATCGGTCCGAAACATTTCTGTATCGAGCTGAACATATCTCCTGGCTCCTGGCAAGATGTATCTTTGGGAATTTGTGAATTCAAATTCAAATCTTACAACAATTAATCTTGCTTCCAAAGTAAGCACAAATCTGCCCTTTTAGGAAGCATAATTGCAAAAGTGTAAAGGGCTGGTTGTAGTTGTCCATTGTAGTTGTTCCTCGGTTTTTAAAAATGGCGCGCCCCGGTACCGAATCGAGAAGGACGACCACACAGACAGCCAGAAAGGCATACTAAGTACCAATCGCAGCTGCTTTTTGTCTGCGCATTTCCACTTATGGTCTGTGCGGCTTTGTGGCCCTCTGACGTGCAGTCAGGATTTTTTCGAAGTGTGCGACGATGATTGCAGAACCTCTGCGCAGAGGGCGTAGTCATGCACAGAGACAGATTTGACGGATGCAGAGGCTATGCGTCAGATGCATAAATTGGCCTTTAGAACCAACAGTGGAGCAAATGAGATGGGACTTGTAGTTATATCTGGTTTAGGAATCCGACTGACCTCAGTAATTTTATGTTCATGCAGCTTTGGACACAACCAGCAATACCCAAGGAAAAAAAATAATAAGCTTGTTGCTTCTACAAAAGGCTGGAGTGCTTCACCGAATTTGAGAAATAAAGCTGTGCAATAAAGAAAAATCTTATTCAACTCTTTAATTCTGTGTCAAAAAAGACATACATATACAATACTTCACGTCACTGTCCTTATGACTTTCACAGGAGTAGAATATGCAATTTGAGGAATCAACTCTAAAACATGGAATATCTCAGTAATCCTGCAGCCCTATTAAAGCTGCAGTCTGTAACATTGAAAAGAGAGCAGACTTCGACTGAAAATTTGAAGAAAAACAGGTTTCACGCCACCCCCCACCCTCTCTGCTTCACTCATGCCCCACCTCCAAGCTCCACCCCTCTCACAGCATCTGCGCGGCTACCGCATGCGACCAGAAGGGGGGGGGGGGATTCAGCGTGTGTGAGCTGTGATTGACACTCCATCAGACGCTCCTCTGGCTGTGATTGGTTGTTTTGGCTCGTCCCGAATTATTCTTTCCAGATTGAAATACAGGCAGTAGGCGGGACCAATTGAAGCAGTTTTTTTCACAGGTTACATATCACATGTACTGCTGTCTGGGCATAGGGACAGTTTTAGCCAATATGACAAAAAAGTGATTTTAAAAAACTTACAGACTTCAGCTTTAGTAACTGACACCAGCGTTAAAGATCTACACACTAGAGACTGACATTTTTTTGGGAATCCCATGGGTCACGGGATTCCCGTGGGATTCCCGTGGGATGGGAGTCAGTATTAGTTATGATCACGTGATTGGGACGGTACAGGATTAAACATTAACGGGAGCAGATGGGAGCGGGAGCAAACCAATAGTAACGGAAAAAAAACTTAGATCGATGCCAAAAAATTAAATAAAATAGAAAGAAAGAAAATCCATACTAGCGCCGCCATTTTATAGTCTTTTTCCTTGAAGCCTACACTATAATGCGAGTCAAAAAAAATACACGACCCAAAAACCAACAGTGCTTCCACTCTGAGTTTTTCCCCCGCGCTCAAAAACAACAAAATTGGGAGTGGAGCAGGAGCGGGAGTCATTCTAAATGGGAGCGGGATGGGAGTGGGAGTAATTTCACCAAGTGTGGGACGGGACAGGATTTAGATTTCTACTCTGACCTGGGATCGGGACGGGACACAATTTTTTTTCTGTGGGAGTGGGACGGGACAGGAGTGAAAATCTACTCCCGTGTCAGTCTCTACTACACACCAACACCTTTATTTTTCGAATTCCACACTTTTACTGACTCTTAAGTTATACTATCAACTTGTTGGACATTTCAAATGAACAAATAAATTTCCTACAGATTTTGTAATCATTAGCACTGATTTCATCATGAAAACACCACCCATAGTGTGAAACAGAAAGGTGGCAGCATCATGCTGCATGGATTCCTAATTTATCCGATTTGGGAATGTTAATCTCAGTTAATAGGAAGATGGATCGACCTAAAGACAGAGTCATCTCTGAGAG